AGCAGAACATTGCCCAAAACATCATAATGCCCCTGTCAGCTTGCCTTCTTCCTATATTGAATCCTGGTGCCATCTCTTCCCCAGGTACTCAATGCACATATACCAGGCCATGCACCACATGTAAAAGGTACAGGTGACTGGGCTGCCATATATAGTAACTGTTTTATGAGATGATAAAAGGCTCTTTTTTTAAAGATTTATCATATGGTCCCAGAGTAGTGAAGCTACACACCTGACCTGTCAAAAATGCATTAGAACTTTAAGGCTGGTGAGGAATAATAGTTAAGGAGTGGGCCATCAAACAGTTCAGAATAACAATCCACCTCCTGTCCAGAGCATTCAAAATTCAGATTCATCTCCACATACAACAAACTCATAAACACAACATGTTTTTCTATTTTTGCTCTGTGGTCTTCTGAGTTAATGTATTTTCCTTGCCTGAAGCAGATGGCAAAGTTCTAAATATATTGTGTCTCCAGGTAAATGAATTCTGGTTATGTCAGTCCCATTTTATTTGAAGTACTGTAGGAGGGCATGGGGGTTAAGCTGTAAAAATGGACAGTTTTAGACTGGGAGATTATGATCAGAAGCAAAAACCGATAAAGTTTGTTGATGGAAATTTTGCACCATGGAATATGTTTGCCAATAGTTATTGACATTTATATAAATCACTTTTATGAACATCTAAATCAAAATACTAAGTATTGTGAGAGGCAGTATGGGGGGGGGGGGAGGTAGATGTGCATTGTATGCATTAAAAGAGATTTTGTCAAATATTACCCAACCTAACTCTACTGATATGTTTTGAGAGTTTTATAAATTGGACACTCTGGACATGGAAACCTCCAGATAATTATATTGATTTCACAGTTATCTTGGATTTATCTGTGATTGAGGGCTTACAGCTGCTGTGACTAGAATAGATATCATTCAGTTATGCTGTTTCTAACTTCTTTTTTTCCATTTGCAAAAAGAGCCAAAGTATTACAGTGAAATCTATGTGTTGGCAAGCAAACCCTGTGACTGGATTTAAAGGGAAGATATTCTATATTTACTGACAGTTTCTTATTTTAACTTTGCTTTATAAATGCTCCATAAAACATATAGGCTTTAAAAAATATCTGGCAGGAATATGCTGTCCTTAAGAAAGTTATCTAAAGAGATGGAGGGCTCAAACATCCACTGTAATATTGGGAATGTTATTAAACGTTGTCTCTGCTGCAAAAGAGAATTGAAGCAAGGGTTAATGGTATCAGTATTAGGTTAGCTAGAGACTGGCATTCTGAATGTGGTCAGCATATGCAAAAATTAGACTGTTTAAATGGTTATTTAACCTGGTGTCAGGAGAGCAGCTAAATACAAATGTAGTACCCTCTAGTATGCTACTAAAATAGTGTAGTGAATTATAGGTAAAATAATTGTGTGTGACTCATAGTATTTGTGTGATTCTGTCATTGAGCTAGTTTTTTTGCATGCCAGCTGGATGATTCAACAGGTTGTGGCTCTATCGCCTCCTCCTGACTCTGGAGGACCATGGAATCTTCCAGAAGTCAGCAGGAAGGGGTGGAGACCTAATCTGCATGTTCTTGGAAGTCTGGCAAATTCCAGGTTTGGAGGCCCTGGTAGAGTGATGGACTGGCCCATAAATATGGGAGACAGGCTGACAGGAGTCAGGTGGAAGAGGGATTGCTGAGGAGATTGTCAATGCCTGGGAGGAGTCCCCTAGGTCTATGGGGTGCCTGCCTCCAGGCTTGGCTCAAGATGGCACGGGAGGATACAATCAGCAATAAGGCGTGAATGGGATCGAGACCTGGAGCAGCAGGGAGCAAAGAGGACAGTGTGAGTACAGCAGCATTCTCTGGGATCTACAAGGGGAAAGACTGCCACATGTAGCAAGCTTTCTAAGGACAGCGCTGGGCTCAATCCTTTATCCTTGTCTCGGGGGATCTTCCAAGAAGCCAGGGGGGGGCTGGTAGTGTTTGCAGGCTGTGGATATGGGAGCAGCTCTATAGGGGGAGAGAAGACATAAAAAGCTAAAGTAAAGCTGATTTTTGAGGGACCACTAGTGAAAAGGCAGCTGCTATTGATCCGCAACAACTGATGGCTTTCAGGAAAAGAACAGTCCAGGATCTTCCTTTGTACATTGAAGGAAGTGTCCCCTTCCAGTGATTCAAGCCAAACTGGGCATCCCATCATCCCATAATCCCTATTTCCCTATCCAAGTTGATTTCCCCTAATAAAACAACAAATCCAAGCCCATGGATTGGTCATTGTCTTTGGATGCAAGTCTGTGCAAGAAATACCCATTACACAGCAGCCCTCACGAAGGTAGCGCTACACACATTTGAACTCCATATACGCGAACCTATTCACCAACAAAATTATTTTTTGTTCTGTGCTGCCAGGTTTGTCATTGTCCTCCACCCTCCCCTGCAGAAGCAGCTCAGCTTGGTCATGTACACACTCCCAGCCTGCCAGGGCGATAATAAGAGAGCTGATGCTTAATGATAATAGTGTAATTCCTCTGATTACTCAGGTTTTCTTTCTATTAATATGATCGCTGTCAACACATACAGTAATGTCTGATTGTCTCCTGATGCTGACCCTTCATCTTCTAGTCATTTGAAACAGGGGATTATAGGAGGCTGATAACAAAACAAACCTGGGTCAGTAAGTGTGCATTATATATCTAGAAACATTGTATTTTTGAAAGTGGACCTTTCAGAAATGTGCATACGTTTCAGATTCAAATCAAACCTGGGTTTGAGGCAAACCCAGCCTGTTTGCTGTTCATGGACCCTCTGAATTATCACTGCCATTTATGGCCTTTCACCCACTCAAATTTCCTGTACTGCTGTAATGTAAACACAGCCCCTGGAACCCCAGGAGATATCATTGACCAAATATGGCTATGACTATATTTGGTCAATGATGTCACCTGGGGTCCTGGGCCAATGACCAGAATCCCTTTTCCCTATACTAGTTTTAGATCAGTGATTCAGAAAGTGCTAGTGCCAAAGCATGAGCTTGACAACCAGGGAACTAACATTCTCAAAAGTTAAAAAATTCTTTAAAAAAATTCTCAGCTATGGCAGCCTACATAATTGCCTGGTACTTCACTTTACCAAAGGCAAATGGAACTAATGGCTCAGTAGAGACTGGAATTCAGGTCAGCACAGAGAATAAATATGTTTGCCTTTCTCTGGTGTAGTATTTAGAGACACAGTATTTAGTATCTACTGTAATTCAGTATTCTTGTCTAACTTCTGTGAGATTACTGAACAAGAAGTTGACTGCGTGCTAAAAGTGAACGCCTCTTAACATACCACTATCACTTTAAAATAACTACTGTCCAGATAATCTTTCAGCTTATATAATAAATTAAAATTTTTAAACCATTTTAAGACTACGAAAAATGAGAGGCAGGTCATGCAAACTACATGAGTGGTTGCTAAAGGGAGACAACATGATCTTCTAGTAGAAGTTGATAAGATGTCAAATGTCCTCTTCCAGTTCTTGATTCTATACATACTGCAACTGCAGTCAATCAGAGGATGGTGTTTTGGATAGTTATTTTTAAAGTGTAGCACTACCCCTGTAGGAGTTGCTGAATTTTGGGGTCCCCTTATAGTCCTGCACAGCCAGGCAACACTCATTTTCCACATAGACTTGCATCCAGGAGACAGTAACCAGCCTTTGTGCTTGTTTTTGGTGATTGTATTAGGGGAATTGAGGACAATCTTCCTGGAACTATGTACAAGTCTATTTACAGCAAAAATTATCTTCTTGTAGAGCTAGCCTGCATCTCCTGGTGTACTACCCCAGACCCTAGATACTCCTCTGTCCAGCTGTCTGAAGGTATCCCTGGGCAGGGGATGTCACTTTAAATATAAGACAGTCCCGGGTAGCAAGCTAGTTCAGTTTCCCACTAGAGTGCTCGCTCCCCTTTCTGGCCCAGGGGGTGTAGGTCTACTCACTCAGTCCCCTGCCTGTGAGTTGATGGGCCGGTGGCTGCTGTCAGGCCTTCCGTTAGACCGCTCCTTCTCTGGTTCACAGATGGCCCTTGCTCTGGGGGCTGATGAGGTCCTGAGATTTCCTTTCCAGCTCTTCTGCCTGTAGGTGAGCCCATTCCTATCTTGGCCCCCTCCCAGGCACCTGCTCTCCAGCCTCTTACTTCATCTTCCACTTGAACTCTCCTGCTGTTTAGGAGGCTCTGTCACATTTAAGGGCTGCCTTGGCCCCATGCCAGGCCTCCTGCTTGAGGATTGGCCAGTGTCCCCTAAGTGTGCAGGCCAGCCCCTTATCACCCTTGCTCACTGCTTTTAGAATCTTCTCCAAGATCTCTGTAACAGGGGGAGGTATCAGGGAACTGACCTGCAGAACCTCTCAGCCCTGACCTCAATTTAACCCAACTACTACTCAGCCCTCCTTACTAAAGTTTAAACTCTAGCTGCCCCTGGCTATCTAGGGGGTGCTACAAAAGCATGGTTTAAATTTAAAAACTCACTTTAGAGATAAATAACTGTTAATTTAATTAACATCCAATAACCTTCTAATGGCAATAAATCCCATCAGTCTATGTACCACTACTGCTAGCTTAAAAAACTATTTTAACCACCTTCCGCCCGCCATATAGTACAATGACGGGCGCAAGGTGGTTCTCTCATTCTGATAGGACGTCATATGACATCCTTCCATTCTCACCACGCATGCGCGGCTCAGGGAGTGCGCAGCGTGGCGATCGCCGGTGTGCTGTGTTCCTTGGACACAGCGGATCACGGATCATGGAAAGAGCCGAAGATGTCGGCTCAGTCATGTGATCAGCTGTGTCCAATCACTCACAGCTGATCACATGTAAACACGTAAATTCCGGTTATCGGCATTTCTCTCCTCTCGAGCTGTCACGCTGACAGCTCGAGAGGAGAGGAGAGCCGATAATCGGCTTTCCGTGGAGGGGACATGTACACTGATCATCAGGGCACTGATGATCAGTGTGCCTTGATGATCAGTGTGGCTCCAGAAGTGCCACCTGCCAGTGTCCATCAGTGCCAGCAGTCAGTGCTAATCAGTGCCATGTGCCAGTGCCCATCAGTGCCACATCAATGTCACATATCAGTGCATACCAGTGCACATCAATGCCACATATCAGTGCCCATCTGAGCTGCCTTTCAATGTCACCCATCAGTGCCAGTCAGTGCCACCTATTAATGTCAATCAGTGCAACCTATCAGTGCTGCCAATCAGTGCCAGTCAGTGTCGCCTATCAGTGCACATCAGTTCCGCCTATCAGTGCCAGTCAGTGCTGCCTAACAGTGCCAGTCAGTGCCGCCTAACAGTGCCAGTCAGTGCTGCCTAACAGTGCCAGTCAGTGCCGCCTATCAGTGCCATATATCAGTGTCATGTATCAGTACTGCATTTCAGTGCCCATCAGTGATGCCTGTCAATGCCCATCAGTGCAACCTACCAGTGCCTCCTCATCAGTGCCCATCAGTGCCACCTATCAGTGTGCATCAGTGCAGCCTAACAGTGCCAGTCAGTGCTGCCTATCAGTGCCATATATCAGTGTCATGTATCAGTGCTGCCTTTCAGTGCCCATCAGTGATGCCTGTCAATGCCCATCAGTGCAACCTATCAGTGCCTCCTCATCAGTGCCCATCAGTGCCACCTATCAGTGTCCATCAGTGCAGCCTATCAGTGCCCATCGCTGCAGCCTCATTAGCGCACATCAGTGAAGGAGAAACATCACTTATTTCCAAAATTGTATAACAAAAACTAAGAAAAAAAAAAATTTTTTTTTTTCAAAATTTTCAGTGGTTTTTGGTTTGTTTAAGAAAAAATAAAAATCCCAGAGTTGATTAAATACCACCAAAAGAAATCTCTATCTGTCTCAAAAAAATGATAACAATTTCATAGGGGTACAGTGTTGCATGACTGCGCAATTGTCATTCAAAGTGTGACAGCGCTGAAAGCTGGAAATTGGCCTGGGCAGGAAGGGGGTATAAGTGCCCTGTAGGCTAGCGGTTAAAGTCACAATTTCCAAAGAAATCATTTTTACAATAGTTTAAGTTATAGCTTTACATTAAATGGTTGCATTTTTTTTTCTGTACCTCTCTTCATGCTGATGGGAACTGATCAGAAACAGAAAAGAAAAATCCAGCTGCTCGGGACTGCAGACATAGGGGTCACAAATACACAAAACAAACTGTTGCATTGATTTTGCTAACTGAGAGGCAGCCTATTTTAGTCAATACTTTGCTTGATCAATGGCCTATACTGTCTGTAACATATTTTTTAAAAATATGGAAAGTATTGTCAATTTAATTTTCTGCAAAGGGATGATTTTTTTTTTAAAGATGTAGATAGATGCTAAAGTGGAAAACAGGATGCTGATAAACATAAATGTATCTTGTTTGAATGTATACTTCTCAGGTGTTTCTACTCCAGGACCAGCTCACTGCAGCTGCATTTTCATCATCTCATCCTTTCCTGTACACCTGCCACTTCAGTCACTCCTGCTGATCTCCCTAATGGAACTCCATTTCTGTATTTTTCTGAAGAAAATCCATGGGTCCTCATTCACCTTTTGAAACATTGGTATTTTTTCAGCCTGCTACCTCCCAATCATTGTCCCCTAGTTTTTTTTTTTTTTTTTACCTCTTAAATTGTGAAGTCCTTGAGTCCCAGAGATGATGACTTTGTGCACCACAGCAGACTTGTCAATGTCATTTTTTGTACTGTCTTCATCTATAAGATCACTTCTGAGCCACAAAGAGTCTTTTGTAATGTTGACATACCTACCCTGTGTGTCTTTATCATTCAGTCTTCCTGCAATATTTACCAATAAATGCCTAGAATTAATCAAATATAGCAAAACAATGTTATAATTTGAGCCATATTATAGAATTGCGTGCTTAAAAACCCATAACAAACTGGCTTTCAAACAGAACTTTTCTATTAGACCTTGTTCACACCATGTCCGTTGAGTTGTTACCACCATACATGTGCTGCACATAAAATGCAGCACAACAGACGTGAACAAAACTTTAGTCATCTGAGATTGGCAAAATGATTTCAGGTTGGTAATTATGAGTTAATGTGTGTTGTACATCATCATTGGTCCTCACACACCGCCTCAACATACTGTTTATACTTGAATGTGTGTTAGCAATGACTTCTCTTATCCTGTGTTCCTAAGCCCCTTTAGCACTTTATGATAAATCCATCTCTGTGTGTACATTTTCATAGTCATAATAAAAAAATGTAGCTTATCAAAGAAAATACAAAGTACTACAACAGGTACAGCATGACCCTATAACAGTGAGTGCCTGAACAAGGACCTTTATGGCAGGATCACTAAGTATTTTTTTAATGAAAGCTTCTGCTTTTAAACTATTGTGAATTACTTTTGAAATTACATTATTATGGTAAAGCTTTTATGAACTTTCAGCGACTGCATTTAAGTATATTTTTCCTTGAACCATCACTTTAGTTTGTGTAGCCTTGAATCAGTCTCAGTATTCATTTGCAAGGGTCTAAGGCTGCAATTACATCTTCCTAGCTGTGCACCACTACAAAATGTGTTGCGGCTTTGTGAATAAATGATAATAATGCTCATAAAATAAATGTCATAATAGCATTAAAATAACCTCAAGCAGCATGCAGTACAAAGTCACAGAGAAGTGTGGCATAGAGCGAGAAATAAAAATGGCCTTTTATCTATTAACTTATACATTGTAATGTGCTAACCCTCGAGGGAGCCCCATTGTTGATCCGGGGCTTACTCTTAGGAATATGGATACACTCCATTGGGGAAGTTCACTTACTGCCTAGACCTAATTACTATAACATCAGGGTTAATAAGATCTCGCAAGGAGAATCAGAGGGATCATCATACACTGTGAGCAGCAAAATTGATGTGATATGTACTGTGACTTATAAACTGTGATAAAAGCAACAAATCATGTTTTTGCCTGGATCTTGTATTATTACTGGTCTTAATATTCCTTTGCCTGGCTCTTCATAGAAAAAGTAGTATACTTAAAGCGAAACTTCACCCAAAAGGAAAGTTCCGCTCCTATTCCTCCTCCCCTTCTCTGCCACATTTGGAATAACTTTTTTTTGGGGGGGGAGCGGGTACCTGGTTTTGACAGATACCCGCTCCCACTTTCAATTGGATTGTGATGGTGGTGGATCCACTGGAAGTCCCCCCCCCCCCCCCCATCTGCAACCTGCAACCTTCTGGAACACTTCACAGGCCCAAGAAGGCTGCAAGACCATTCACAAAGTGCAGTGCGCCTCGCACATATGCAGCAGGAAATCGGCTGTGAAGCCACAAGGAGTCACAGTCGGCTGCTCACAGTTAACATGCCAGCACCAGAGACCCAAAGACCAACAAAGAACTGGCCTGGATGAGGAAAGTAATGGATCCTTGGGCAGCTGCGTGTCTATTTTTAAAAGTCAGCATCTACAGTATTTGTAGCAGCTGACTTTTAATTTTTGCAGAACTGACTAAAGATCCTATTTTAATAAGGATCTTCACCCCACAGAGAAAAAAAATTAAAACATCAACAGCTATAAATACTGTAGCTGCTGATGTTTGATAAAACTTACACTTGCCTGTCCAGGGATCCAGCCCTGTCCTCAAACAGGGCAGTTCTATGCCGGTCTTTGGCATGTTTGCTGGGGGGAGCCAGCTTTGAATCCTTGCAACTTCCTATCCGGTTTCCCCCTGCACATGCATGAGCTGTACTGTGCTTTGTAAATGGTCCCACAGGCAAAGAGGAGGAGATTGAACCTCCAAAATGAGGTACCTGCTCCCCCCCAAAATATGCGAATAGCAAAGGGAATAGGAAGAAGCTTTGCACAAGCACAAGTTCTGTAATCAACTTGTGCTGTCACCGCCTTACCTGCCCATAGCACTTTCCTTCCCCCCAGTGGGTGACAGACACTCCCATGCCAAGACTCACTGTACATTCGCTGTAGGCATACTTTGGGAAGAAGAAGTACATGTGATGTTGGTGGAAGCAGTCAATCATCTGAACAAATCTTTGCTCCACTCCCCTCACTATATGTGGATAGTATATAAAATAGTGACCATGAAAAAAACTATGAAAAAATAATTCTGTGTATAGAGGGGTACGTCAACATCCAACACCCGTTAAAGAGTTCAATGCTGAAGAGTCTTGCAGAGGCTGCAGCGCTGAATTAAGGATGGTGGGAAACATGAACCTCTGGGGGATGAGTATAAGGGTTCTTTCACATAGCCACTGCTCACCTAATTTTTAACATTATAGCTGGAAAGGGCTGTACACATGGTAAAACTTTGACTTTTTTTTTTGTTTCAATCATTTTTATTAGAATTTTCTTTTAAAAGAGAAAGAACAAAGCAGAACAAGTGGATAGATCTTCAAACAGCACCATTCACATAGTTGCAATGGTACATATAAAAATCACAAAGACATAATAGGACATAAGGTCTTTTCACATCCAGAGGGGAACCTGGTGTTGGATGAATAAATGTAACAAAGGTCATAAGTCTAGGCACAAAGTAAAAATCAGCGACTTATGTATATTCACAGTGGAATAACATTAAGAAGAGCAGGTCAGGTGACCAGGTCAACCCCCCCTGGTCCCGATTAGGCAGCAGGCCTAGCTGGGTCTCCACGGGAGAGATCAAACTACTAACCCCCCCCCCCATAAAAGCCCACAGAGGCCACGGCTAGTTGTGGCAATTTTAACATGGCTTTAATAGTTTGACAGGTAGCACCAACTGTCAAACGTGTACATTAAGACAAATGAGAGAGCACTGCAGCTGGAAGCCAAATGCGTCTGCCTAAAGCCACTGCTCTCTGAAATGTGATTTTCAAAGGCCAGTTGGAAAGACCCCTAACACTCGTCTGTTGCAGTGACATTTAATCTGGATTTATTTTAGTGACAGAGTCACATTAAGTGATTCATAATAGGTGGCACCCATCTGTCCCACTACAGTGCAACCATCATAAATTGTTTTTTCATTTGACTGCGGCACAGACACACTGCATTGACTACCGTTAAAAAAAACCTGGGTCCTCCTGTGTTTTTCTCGCTGTCAATGTACTTGCACTACTTTATGGAATAACTTCAATAGTCTTTATTTGCATGGCTGAAGTTTTGTCATGTGTGCAAACCTTCTCTATGTAAGGAAATGTTGTAATAATTGATTTTTTTTTTAAATAAATACCACAGTACCAAGTAACGCAGTGCAGAAATGCTACAGAGAATGTGCCAAACCCAGCAGAGGAATAAATAAATGAACATTCTAATTCTAATTAATTAACCTTTTCCAGATGTTCTCTATTCTTTGGGGAAAAAACAAAATGTGTAGCTGCAACCTTTAACATCTGATTATCTCGTGCATCAACCTTCTCACACAGTGCTTAGGATTTCTCCAAATTTTCTATAGCTGAGTACCAGTCAGGGTGCCAGTTGATGGTCTGTTCTGCAGATGTCTAGTTAGTTGTTTAAACATGCATTGTTAAAAAAAAAAAAATCAAGTTTCCAAGTAAATTCAGCACAAATTGACATGTCCTGGGTATATGCCATTGTTGAATAGAAAAATAGGATGCTACCAAGATTCCAAATTATTTTTAAAAAAATGTTAGATCTTGGTGAG